CATTTTCTGTGTAATAACCGTAGTTTCTATGATAGATATGCTTAAAAAAATTTTAAATTATAATCACAAGTCATTAAAAATGCATGTCGTGTGTTAAATCTTATTAAATACCTTTCAGTTTTCATTTTTTAATCTCATAATTACTATTCATTTTTTTTATAATGCTATGCTATTCATATTAGTTCTTTTTACAGTCATTTCTACGAAATTCGTTTCTTTATTTTAGTACACTCAGATAAACTTTCGATGTCATTTTATTTATGTGACAATGAATTTATTTTTACACAAAATTATTCTTCGTAATTTATTCGACTCGAATAGAATAATTTGTGATACCATTGTTTTGATGATCTATTTTTTGTCGATATTAAATTGTAATTATCTCATACATTTATTAAAGATATATAATCGAAGTATAAAGATAAAATTATTCTTTAAATTATATTTCAAATATCTTACGCCTTAAAAATACAGAATAAATAAATGGCTACTATAGTGATATAAATATGTAGATGAAGCAATAATTATCATTGTTCAATTAAATGTCATAAATAATTCACACATTCCTGCAGGATGAAAACACATAAATATATTGACGTGGTTCATTTCCGAATCATTCTTATAAACTTTATAAAATTATTTTCATTCAATAAAAGTAGGAGATATTCCATTTGTTCGATTTAATATTTTCAAATTTTTTGTACATGTATCAGTAAATTCACAAGCACCTGATAAACTTTTGTTGATAAATCCAACATGAAATGATGTAAGTTGATGTTTAATATCTCTTATTGAACTATAATTAAGCAAAAACAATATATAAAATAGAAATAATCTTCGATAAGAAACAAATAAAAATACCTACTAATAGATATGCTACAATCGAAAAACAGAAATTGTTCTTTAATTTTCTTACCACAAATAAAAACTTCTCCGAATAAAATACATAGAAAATATTGTAATAGAATTTTATTCAATATTTATTTGTATAAAAAATTCTTTTGTAATCTCACTATTCAAGTCAAAATACTTTGTTACTTAAAGCATCGTATTTTTTTAAATGCTCTACTGGAAATTGTTTAGTTGCCAAAACATATTTCAGAAGATTCAGTTGATATAGTTTTAAATCTAAAGAAATTTTAGAATAAACAATATAGTATAAATAAATTAAATTTCTATTCTTAAAATAAGAAAAAGAAAAGATGAGTTGAAATTATGAGTAACAAAAAAAAAATTCTTTAACTTTTTCTTTTCAAAATTAATAATTATGTCAATAAGAATCACTATAATTTCATTATTTTGGATGGTATTTTATAGAATATAGTACCATTTTTTTCAATGTTATCGTAAAGAAAAAACTGTTTTCTGAATCGCATGGAATTTTATTGAAAATGTTCAAACAATATTGTAAAAATTTCGAGAATACTGACTTTTGTTTGTACGATAAATAAAAAGTTAAAAACCATGTAGAACTTTTTAATAAATTTATTTTTATGTTAGAAATTCTTTTTTAAATCAATATGATGATATTTTGTTTATTTAATTCTGATTAATAAAAAACAAATAAAATTTTGTTCTTCTATATTTAATCAAAATATATCTTCGTTCTGAAAGATATATGAACACATTCGAGGTAATTCACTTTTCATACGAGAATTAATCAAGATATTCAATCACACAGACAATAAACTTCTAACAAAATCTACTTACTAAATAATTTTTTTTTCTGTTCTATCGATTTTTCTTCGTTCTCTTTTTACCTTCAAATAAGATAGTGAATCGAATCTCGTGTCTACCTAAATAATAGCTCACGTTGCTTTTTCGTTCTCTAATGTACAGTATACAATAATGTGAGAGGTAACAGAACGAAATATCCACATTTTTGTCTCGTATTCGTATCTCTTCAGTTCTCTCTCTCTCGTGTAAAAACAATCAAAATTTTTTAATAGTGAATATGTCGCCAGAAGAAGTCAATAGAGAAGACAACGTTGACTCATTGAATGAAATGAATCCTTCGAAGCCCCAAGTTCCTACAAAGAAAAATGGCTGACGATAAGTTCAATCGTGAATAACTATATAATATATAAGGAAGACTATGCAATAGACAACAATTAGCAAGTCAAACAAGCACAAGCTCAAAGAAATAGAAGGATCTGTGTATAAAATTCGCAGACGTTGCACAGGTTGCTATGAAACAAAAAAGAAACAAGAATGAAGGGAAATGAGCTACGTGGTGGTAAAGAAATTAAAAATTTTCTAATCTGACTTTGATAAATCTTTTCGTCTTTAATATTTTAACAAAAAATATCATATTATGAAATAGAAGACTCAAGAATACCGAATATAGAGCAGATAACACATTATATGTAATCTGCTATCTAAGAAAAAAGAAAAAGAAAGTATTTTTATATACAGTTCGAATTTATTAAAAAAATTCTATTTTGAATTCTTAGATAATATAACATTTTGATTAAAATATGATAAACATAAGGAATTAATTGTCAATTCTATTTAAAATATAAGAGAAAATGGGTTAAAACTAATCTAGTTAATAGAAGAAAATCTATTCATTTAGTTAAGTTTTTTTTCATGAATTTTCAAATTAAAAAAATCGAATATTGTTGTAAAAATATTTTCAATGAAAATTTTCAAATTGAAGAAAAAAACAATTTATTAAGAACTTACATAAATCATGGGAGATATTTCTAATATATATTTTGTTCATTGTTTGAACAATTGTCATAATCATAAAGAACATAATTAAATCATTTCAGTTTCTACAACAAAATATAAAGAAAATATTGTTGAAAAACTTTTTCTAAGACTTTCTCTTTCACATTTAACATAACATTGGACAAAATATTCTACAATATAATTCAATTGATTTTTCTCGAAGAAATAAAATAGTGTAGAAAAAAGTTAAACAATTTTTAAAACAAAATCACTCACCCGTTTCCACGTGTTCTATGGAGATAAAAAAGCGACGTTTGTTCATCACGAACATATATACATGTTCGTGTCCGATAACGCGAATGTTGAATAAGGATTAATACGATCGAACTCTCATACACACGTAAATGCGACGCAGTCATGCGTGATTACAATGAAAATATCGTAGTTAGACGTAGGGAGAATGAAAAAAAACTTTTTAGTTGTGATAAATAAATTACATCTCCTCAAAGTTCTGTCACATATTCACATGACAATCCACTGTCGATTGATGTTGATATTGTGAGAGAAACAATGTCAGTTGGATATCATTTCTCTCTTTATTCAAAAATGTTATTACTGAAAAAATAAAATTATTTAAATGATCACTCGAACAAGTTTTCATCAAGATAATCTCATATGACTTTGATTGTTTCAAAAAAAACAATATTATTACAGTTGTTTCGTTACATTTTCACGAATTAATGAAAAAAAATTTTAACAATATAAAACTGATTAGTTTGAATTATTCGTAGAGCTAGTCATAATATCTATCATCTTAGCACAATTCTACTACAACAATAGGCATAAGAACAAAAAGCATATTTCTAATCTTGGTTAAAAATAATTCTGCGAGCGTCACTATTGTTTAGAAAAAAATCGTTTGCATAAAACAATGAGTTTACTTATATTAAGAAGATTTCTTAATATGTTTATATTACTAAAATATTTTCACATAGGACATTATGTGATTAAATACTCTTGAACCTCAATGATTACCGTATAAAATTGTCTAATCGATTTTATCTGCCATTCTTTCTTTCTCTATCACTAAACTTTTATTATTGTAAAGATAATTATAGTTCAAAACGACCAAGTATATTTTTCGATTGATAAAACTCTATCTGAGATCTTTTTTTTTTCACTGTAATTTACATTGAGAAAATGTAAAAATATATGTCTGATATACAATCGACAATTTCTATTTTCCGAATTTACTTTCAGATCTTTCAACATCAAACAATTCCAAATCTTAGCAAACTGTATTATTTTCAATTTAATAATGGTTATGATGATGAAAAAAGAAAAAGAATAGTTATATATTTAATTGATTCAAACTATAGATTGCTTTATATGTACGATGAAAAAATTTCTACACTCTAACTATTGGTTTTGTGCAAATACGATTGAATCAAGATTAAAAATGATATAAAACTTAAGAATATATTTTATGAAATATATCCTCAGAATTTATATTAGAAATATTTTTTATATAAGTTTGATTCTGCTGTAGAAAATCAGATGATATACATATTCTCTATTTTTATTTCATTGTCATATCAGACATTTTTTTTCTATTAATAAAATTGACAATTAATGATCATAATGACATTAGTTTTACTACTAATATATAAATTTGCTCGATGGATAATAATTCTATAAATATTTATTTATATGTCTAATATAAAATAATATAGATCAATTGATAAAAGTAACAAAATTGATTTATTTAAATAAACAAAAACTTTATGAAAATAAACATTTCTTATTCTACCTTTAGAAATACAATTCACACAAAGAAAACGAAATATTAATATTCACTATGATAAAAAACATAATTACTTAACTTGAATTTTCTCTGTAACATTTGAATTGTTGATATTATCGATTTGATTTTAACATAAATATACACCAAGATTTTCAAAATCCTTATGTCAATTCTATATCAATAGATAATTTACTCATACCATTGAATCTAGTAAATACATGGACGATAACGACGAAATAATTTTGCTTGACTTTTTTGACTTAACTAGATAAAGTAAAATTGTAAAAGACTATTTCGAAATATATTTTAATTTTACTTGTGTTCCATTGTGTTGACAAAGTTTTTCATATATCTCACGTTCTTCGAAATAACCATCTAGTCTTGCATTATTTATTTTATAATTTTTCGTTCGTGACACTGTTGGAAATAATTTTAAATTTTGTTTATTATTCGTAATCATATCATCTTTGCGTTCTTGTATAGTTAATGTTCGATTTTTTCTAATAGTTTCATAATAAATTTTCTAATTATTTGCACGAACATGATTCGAAGCTAGAAAAATTCAAATATGTTTTGCTTTTAATGAAAAGAAATTAAATATTATTTACCAGTTGTAAGCATTTCTTCAGTTAATGATAAAGCATGTTCAATATTTCCGTCCTAAAAATATTAAATTTAATTCAGAACAAAGAGAGAAAAAGAAAATTTTCTTTTACTTGTGATGTTGTATAAGCAAGATAATCTAAAATATGAATTTTATTTCTAGATGTTTTATTAGTTTCTTTATTTAAATGATTGCGAATGCTTCTTGCATCCACATTAGTTTCTAATAAAAATTTCCATTTGTACATGCAACACATCCCAAATCATAACATTTCAAGGCTAGAAATAAATAAATTAGAGAAAAATCGATAAAGAAATTTTATTTGACTAACTACTCAATTCTTTTTATTTAAATTTTTTTGATTATTTCACCATTTGCTAATTGACTTGTATTCTACTTTTATGTATCTTGGAAACGCATTAATATCAAGTTTTTGTAAAAAATCTAGAAAAAATATTCATTGATGATTAAATTAAATTATTTATACTAGCAAGATAATAATTCTTCGATATTATACTATTCTAGTATTAAATTTTTAATAAATAAATATAAATTAACTGAATTACCAAAATAATGTTCTGCATTTACTTCCACTTATCGAATTTCATCGTTAATTACATTTATATTTATATATATGAATCTATTTTAATAATTACTTTTCTATCTCATCGAATCGTTCATATTCTTCTTTCAAACATACTTCGAACGTTTTTTCCTAATAATATTTCACTTTATAATAATTGAATTAAATATGTTGTTGAGTATGAAATAAGAACAAAACAATAGAGACAAAAAACATCAAATGAGAAAGAAATGATATGAAGAGGACGATCATTGGTACAATTATCAAACAAGTTTAACAAAGATAATTAAATAATTAATATTAAGTTTAAATTCAAAGAAAAAAAAGAATAGATTTTCAACATTATTAAGTCGTAGAAACTCTTCTATGAAATATTCGTCTAATTTTAATGTTTTTTTCATACAAATCAGTCGGATTTTATTCATTAAACACTTTCCAAATCATTTAAATAAGGAAATATATAAATACAATGCAAAAAAAAACAAAAATCAATTGTAACATAAAAAGTTTAAATGTTCTGACGGTATAAAAATATACTGAAGACTAAAGAAAAAGAAATAAAATGAATTTCTATATCGCACAGAAATATTTTAGAGCTTTTCAAATAATTATTATTATCGTCGATATCTAATTGTTGTTGAGAACATCAATAATTCGATAATTTGATTTCGTTCTATTTGAAAGTAATAATGAAACTTTCAATCTATAATTATAGTTATGAACAAGACAAAATATGAAAAAAAGGTGAAAAATATCAACAAATATTTTTTTTTCTTTTCTCTTTTCCTTCAAGCATGAATAAATATTGCGATGAGATTGGATTTTTTTTTCTTACATTGAAATGCTTATCAATAGTTGAAACAGAACGAAAAGAAAAGAAAAAAATCACGTTATTTTGTGTTCATAATAAGTTTGTCTATAGTTCAAAAGTATCACTCTTACTTAGAAATAAAACAAAATAAAATAATCGACGAATTAATTTATTTTATTATATCTCGTTGAATCATATAGAAATTAAATAAATATATATTTAATTAAAAGATTGTCTATAGTCTATCTGCAGATTGTTCATACATTCAAATGTTATTTAATCCAAAATTTATATGAGATTCTACTAGTTTTTCATGTACTTTAATCAATAAACGGACAGACGATTATTCTATCCGTTAGTTGGTGTATAGGTGAAAAAGAAAAAAAATATTATAGATTATAGTGTATAATGGTATAAATATGAACAAACACACATAAATATAGATAATTATCGAAAATTTCAACAAAAATAATTCTATCTGTTTTATATTGACTTGTTTTTTTTATGAAAAACTCTTTGATAATAATCAATGACGTTAATTAACATTTTGAAATAGAAAATAAAATTGATGATATATTGAAACAAAGAATAAAATTTATAGATTATTTTCTTCTTATTCGAATATTTTATTGTGATCACAATGATGAACGGATCGGGTAGTATTACTACTATCCTTGGCATATTACTCTATTATCCATTTGTGTTCATATCACACAACGTCATGTATTATATATAAGAACACAAAGGCGAGAGAACGAAAAGAATAAAATATAGATTAATTTTTTGTATGAATATACTATTTATATTGAGATGAAGAATATTTCTCAATAAATAATAACTTTTTTTATAGTAGAAAACGAAAGTAATTTGATTTTTTTGTTATCTATCAAGAAGAATTGCTCAATTGGGTAATAATCAATTCTATGAAAATCCAAATGTTTTATCTATTTGACACAATTAAAATCTTATGAACATTTCTATGTAGGTACCATTTTAATCAGTTGTTTTAAAATGTTGACTAGTCACAATCGAATTATTAATAACTAGATTTGAAAAGAATTTTTATGACTAAAGCGATGAAAAAAAAACAGTTTGAGTTTAGTGATCCATAAATAAATAGTCTTAGTAAGATTTTCCCAATGATTTTTTGTCATATTATTATAAAATTCGAATAGAATATAGACTCTATTGAATATAGGAGAACGCTTTTTTAAAATAATTTAATTGATTTGAATGGAAGTTAAGAGGATTCTTTGATCTATACTATTTAATAGAAAGATAATTGTATGATGAAATAAAAATAGAAATTGTACCAAAATTATTTATGTAAATTAATATTTAATTAATTATCTGAGTAGAGAAGTCCGCTTTTTTCTCCCATGAGCTCTACTCCAATTAACAGAATGATAAATCACCTTTGAACACTGATTTCATAAATAAAAACTAAATAATTATTGAAAAATATAGATCAAAAATAAAATTTATTTTAAATAACTACATCACAGACCTAAATTCACCGTATAAACAAAAAAAAATATATATAAATTAAATTACATCAAAACTTTTGTATTTTTCATATGTAATAAATTTAATAGTGTTCGTTCAAGTCGACATCGTATTTGTTCAATATGTTTTATTTTAATTTGTTGACATTCAATTTGTAATTTGATTTGAAATGCATCTTGTTCTAAACGATTTGCAGTTTGACCTAAAACAGCACGAATATAAATATCAGTACGTCGTCGTTGTAATAAAACATAAACAAATTCTGCTAATGTATTTAAATCAATATAAGTTGATAATAGAATATCATGATATTTTGAACAAACTTTTGATTGTCGTGCAATCAATGATAATGTATAAAATGTATGTTGATTACGTTGACGACGATGATTTATAGCTTTATTATGTAAACGATTTCGTGTTGATGAACGAAGTTCATGTGTTGATTCAGGTACATTACTACAAGAAGAAGAATTATGTGTTGACCAACGTTTTAAACACATCCAACAATATTCATTACCACATTTACATGTCATATGTGGACAACCTAGAATAGAATGATTTAAATCTATCATAGTATTCGATTTCAAAATTTACCTCCATTCTTTTCAACAAATTCTCCACAATTTGGACAGTTTTTTCCTTCAGCTATATAACAACTTGAATTATCTCCAATTTTCGATTCACTTAATAAATCATCGCCACTTTCACGTAAACGTGCAACATAAAATTTATATTGTTGACATGTAGCTGGAAAATGATATTCTTCAAAACATTGCAAACAAACACGTTGACCACATGAACACATTGATGTTAATTTTGTATTATCATCAATAATAAGTAAATTTGAACATGCTCGTGATGGACATTTTCGATAGTTACCTGTTGAAAATATATGACGATCAATTAATGATTGAATATATGATTCATAGATTTCAAATGAAATAAATCCTTGTACAAGAGATGGATTCATATGAGTTGAACAATCGGATTGAAAACAAGTTATTAATGATGTACTTGTCGATGAATATGTTGCTGATGATACACTTGTACGAATATATGATGTTAAACATGTATGACAAAGTGTATGATAACCTAATGAACAAAAAAATTAATATAGATTGAAATTTGTTTATAGATAAATATACATACATGGAAGTAATTGACAAGCATTATTAGAAGTTAACGTTTCACAACAAATTGAACATTCTAATGAATCAGATATAGTTTTTGTTGTATCAAACCATTGTTCTTCTTGATCTTTTTCATGAATATGTATATTTTCTTTTTCGATTATTTTTTGTTTATCTGTAGAATTAGGTTGAGTTAAAAGCATATTTTGTAAAATAGTCATTGGTAATGGTAATGAACCACGTAATTCATCAACATCAAAACGAGTATTTCTAAATGATTTAGTCATATTACCGATTGAATTTTCATCTAATTTTTCCGATATTATTTGAATAATTTCTTCAAGAGTTATTTTACTTGTAGAATAACTAAATTTAGGACGTATACCAGTATATTTAAGAGTTACATTGACTTTAGATGATTGTCGATCATATGTATAAATAATAGAAAAAGAAGATGATGATGTTCTTTGAAGAAATATTGGTGGTGAAAGATTTGCTTGAGTGATTTTCATTGTTGATTGTTGCATTAAAGTAAGAAAATCAGATTCATTATCATATTGAAAAGAATGTAATTCTTCATCAGTTGTAATTGAAGATATTTGAGGTTGAGGTGTAGGTGTGGGTAAAGGTTCAAAATATTTACGTGCTTTATAATCATTAATATTATCTGATGAATTATCATTCGTAAAAGATGTAGATTTACAAGTCGATGATGTGGATGGAATGAAATATTCGATTGGAAAGTTAATAGAAGCTAATAATGGATCATCTAGATGATTAAAATTAAATTTTATTGAAATAAATTATTGTAAAACTTACCTGTATCTTCAAAAACAATCGACCATTTATCATTTTCATCGATAAAATCTGACGATATTGTTATATATTCCTCATTACTAATATCTTCTTCAATACAGTATTCTTGTGCATGAATATCAAGTCGATTACATTCATATCGTCGAATTTTTCGTCGATTTTTATTTGTATCTTTATGAGATCGTCCATGATAATCATACTGATAACGATCAGGAACTCTTATTAATGTTGTTTTTCCACTTTTATATGATGTTGATGATGGTAAGTGCTTTGGATATAAAAATTCATATGTTACTTCACTGGGAAAAAATCCAGGCCGTTCTTGAATACCAAAATTTGGTTGATTTACTCGATCAGTATTATTATTACGTCGACGACGTCTATTCCGACGTTCATGTGTATCAAAATCC